GAGTGGGTCGCCATAAGCTGTGGTCATGAATAGTGGGTCGCGATTCTAAAAAGTTTGGGAACCCCTGCATTAGAACATTAGAATGCCAATCAAGAAAGTGAGGATTGTGCTGCAATGGTAGAGGACGCTACCTGTGCTAGTATAGGTGGCACAGTATGATTGGTAGAAGGTAGTCACATGATCAGTACATGTTGCTGCAGTGATGCAAAAATGAAGGGGTATAAAAACTGGTGTGCTGTTGAAAAATTTTAGCAATGCTTAGAGGGCAAATCAAGGTCGAGATAGCTTCGAGTGATAGGAGGTAGTGCCATTTTGGAACTTTCTGTATCAAAGCATATAGGATCACTTGCCCACTGTATTGTATATAGTGTTGTTTTTTGTACACTATTGTAGTGTATTTTTCATTATAGTATAAATAGTGGCTGTTATTAAATATTTATTGTTTGTAGATCTATGTCTTGTCCCATTCCTTTCGTGATTCAGTAACTGCAACTCGAAATATAATACATCTCAAATTTCTCTGCTTGTTAATCAAGAGATACCACACCATCTAAAATCACTGACAAATATGAAGAAAAACAACAAAGATTTATTGATAACCTATGACCTGACCTGTCAGAAATGGCATCAGATTAGAGAAGGCAACAATATTCTTTCTAACAATATTATTGGTCAAGATCAACATATATCTAATAACTAATACATCTAATACTTTTCCCACAAAACCATCAATTACTTTTCACACCACTTTATTCACATTAATGTGAATATATTTTCTAGTCTGCTATATCCAACAGTATTCAGACTTTGCCTGTAGCTATTATCAAAGCTATTCTTCATTAGTAGTTAGCCAACCCTTTTATTCCCTCCCAGCATATGATGTGAAGGAAAATCATGCAAGACATGACTTGATTAATTGTATTCTCAAGATATGATAGTTCTTTTAATAAATAAAAAACCTATGTTCTGGGATGGGCAGAAAACTAAAAATATTTTTTTTACACTAAATAAATGCTACAATCTGATAAAATAACAATTCTAAAATATTTCTAAAAAAAATATTGTTAAAATAAAGGCAATTGTTGATGATTTTCTGTTTAGAGCTACATAATAAAGTTATCTGAACACTGTCCATCAAGGGGACAGATTCTGGATTTTAGTGTTGTAAGTCTGTAAACTTACCCACTGACCAACCCAGAGATGAAATAGAGGAGGAATTATTATTTTTGATTATATTTTAACATTTGATACATAGGTCTGGTCTCAACATCTGAAAGGTTCTCACCTATCCAGACAAGTTTAAGTGAATTACTAGCCTCAGAATTACATTAACATCAGAATTTGTAGCAAGAAAAAAGCACACAGTGTTAACAGCACAACTATAAACAGAAAATCTGAACTGTAACTGGAAGGTAGAATTATGCATGATTTCTCGAGATGTGTAATAAGAATGTGGAAGGTGAGGAATTATGTGTAAGTTGACATCACGAAAGCAACTCAACAAGAAAAAAGGCTTTCAGTATTTCAGAGGTAAGTTTACCTGATTCAGATAAATTTTCAGTGGACCTTTCTTTAATATAGTTTTCAAAGAACTTACATTTTAAAAATAAAAATTGAAAGAAGATTAAGATTAAACATTATACTTAATTATACACTAGTAACTATATGATTACAATCTACTAACAGACAATATCTATATCCCCCATCACCACCAGTTGGATTTTTAATTTTGAAAAGCTGTGAAAAAATCAACTACGATTACACTAGTCATGATTCCAAGATAAAGTAGCCTTTACAGTAGTTAGGAGATAAGCTAAGCACCACTTCCATTTTTCTCTTTTTTTTATTATTGCAGATCATTATTGACCAAGGGGACTTTAAGAAAACCACAAATAACACAATATAGAATAGTTCAATATTATAAAATATATACATATCTAAACAGATCATAGTGCAAATACTATTTTATATACATACCTTGTACTTTTGAAATAAATGCCCATAATGGCTAGGAAGAAAACATTTTATCTTGTATCTTCCATCACCAACAATTATATCATACAAATATATTTCTCCAGGGTCATACTGGACTTCTTGGTCTTTTAAAGATGTTATGTATGCTTGATCTGCTATGTAACAGTAAATGCCCAAAACCTACACAGAAAAAAATATTTCAAATAACTTGTCGACAAAAAGAAAAGAAAAAAAAGAAAACTGCAGGTTTAATGAAATGTGTTACTTACTGTATATCTGTACATAACACATACACACACACAAAAAGGAAAAAAAAAAGAAAACTGCAGGTATAATGAAATGTGTTACTTACAGTATATCTGTACATAACACACACACACACACACACACACACATATATATATATATATATATATATATATATATATATTATTATATATATATATATACAGTACATATA